TGGAAAAAAAGCATGCACGTTATAGGTATTCTTCAATTGTGCCTGGTCTATCCATCTGTCAGTATCTATACACACTTCTGTTTAAATAATTTTGTTTCTTCCTTCTCACTGCAATGCAGTTCCTTGCAACAAACCTAACAGATAAAGCAAGGCTGATTACTGGTTCAGAAATTTGAGTATTGATTATCTTTTGGTCCCATACATCTGGCTACAGTTTTTACCTCGGGAAACCAAAAAATACAAATCCCGAATCAACTACAAAAAGTTTTTGCCAACACTTACTGAAATCTTAAAATGCTACAAGTTTGCCAGGGAGTGCAGAAGCATGTTCTGCAGGGTGGAGACCCTATGCAGCTGCTGGCACATCTGGGAGCCCCACTGCTGAAGCAGAGAGGGCACACATCATCCCCATACTAAGAAAATGAAAGGTTCAGCCCACCAGCCTGGAACTGAGCCCTGCTCAACCATTTCCTGAGGAATGAGAGGCTAGAAGGCAGCTCAAGACAGGAAGGAACACACATGATCCCAGCCAACACCTTCTCTCTCCTTATGTCATTTTTTCAAAGACAGTTGCAAAGATGAATCCCTTCTGTGCAGACCTGAACATCTTGGCAGTCCCTGCACACTCACAACCACAGCCCCTTCAACTTCCCTATCCAAGGGTATGGCAGAAAAGGGAGGATCCCAAAATTTGTGAAAAAGCGAGTGCTGCAGGCAGTTATTCCTAGGATCTGAGGGAGGATGCTTTCAAACCAGGCTAGGCCTACAAGATCAAAAATGTGTGCTGTGCCAATCTAGGCACTGGTCTTGGTCTTTTTGCTCCTGCAAATCATATATACAGAATGTATATGGGCTGACTATTTTCTAACATAGAGATGCTAATGAGATGTAGCGTTATGTCCACCTGGAATATTTGGGTTTGTGTCCTCCTTCCGACTCTGGCTTACATCCCTGTAGGAACAAAACAAGTTCTCTCACTGCAGCCCACACCCTCACATCTGAACTGTCAGACAAAACCTGTATCAACCCCAGGTGTTTGCTCAGTCATAAACTGCTTATTAAGACACAATTTTAGTTGTCATAAATGCATAACTGTATGGCCTAATCAAATGTGGCAATGACAAAGCAATATAACAACTAGATCTGAGACACAAAAACATCCACTAGGCATAGTTCTACTAAAAACTGTTCACTTAAAAGTCTAACTAGATACAGTGGAAATTTGTTCTAACATTGTATGGGGCAGGAAAAAAAAACAGTGTTAGGACACAACAACTGCACTCTCAGATATATACATTACTCTGACAATAAGTAACAAATAGAAGCGCTGATTACAAAATTGCCTTTATTCCACTTTTGCTACACACTGAAGCATTTGTACAGAAAGTGACATTTTTCCTATTATGAGAAACAGCTTTGTAAGAGCTTGCTTAAATAAACTGAAACTCTTCCTTTTTTTTTTTCCTCTCTTGTTCTCCTACACTGATTCAAAAGCACTTCTTGGTAGGGCACTAGTACTGGTGTACTGGATAGTCTCTCGTATTACAGAGGTGTATTGCAGCTGCCTCTTCCAGTAACAACAAAATGCAATTATGAAGATTTCCTCTCTGATAAATTGCTACCAAAAATTCTTGGCAAGAGAATTAGCCCCTAAAGGTTTATGTAATGTTTCTGTCAGACACAAGATGAAAAAGAGTACTGCAATACCCCAGAATCAGGGAATATGTTTTGCTTCCCTTAGACAGAAGGGCAGTTAGTGCAGAATCTGTGAGCCTTACCAGTGCCACATCTAAATGTTTTCTTCCTGAAGCTTTCAATTCAGGTATGATGAATTAGGTTTTAAAATTACAGGTGCCAGTCATGTACTGTTCAGATTCAGCTGTGTGTTTTCTCTCTTCCAGCTTAGTGAGAAGAGAGCATTTAATTGATTCTTTGTAATACCGACAAGATATTACTTCACTGTCCTGTGGCAGGGGTTTATGATTTCTTACAACGATAAATAAACCAACTCCATCCAAAGTGTTCCAGTGGTCACATCTCATTATTTTGCAGGTAGTCAGAAAGAGCCATATTATTCTGACAGAAAATTTACAGAAATTTTACCACAAAGTTAAAGGAAGTGTCAATATTAAATTCAGATACTGCATGCTCTAATATGAAGACATTAACAGCTGCAAAACATATTTATATTATATTATATTATATTATATTATATTATATTATATTATATTATATTATACAGAAACTCATGACATACAAGACAAAAGTGGCAAACAAAGTAGTAGAGTCCTTTGGTGGAGCCTCACTGTCATGGGGGAAATTATCATCCTACAGATAAACAACACAGTATAACTATACCCAGCCACCACTGGGCAAAAAATGAAATGTCATTTATATTACATGCAACTCTAGCAAAATATATGTCAAATTTCACCATTTCCCAAAGTTTATTACCAGTAATGCCAGAGAAAAAGACAAATAGACATTCTGTATGTGTATGAGTACTGTTAGACATACACAGAATAATTTAAACCCTTTTTTCTTCAAACCAGTTATACTAATTACTGAAGCAAGCTGTAGGATATCAGTGTGCTGCAAGCATTGTTCAACAAGTTAAGAAAAAGTACGTTTTCAATTTCCAAGAGGAAGGGTGGTGACCTATAAAGCTGTAAAGGAAACCACTCACAGGATTATTTCAATACCCTTGCTAAAAACAGCCCCCTGGAATTATAAGAGTCTCTTCCTCATCCTGCTCAGAACAATTGGGAAATTATAGATCATTTAAAGTACGTTAAATTAATATACTAAAAAATAAAATTTATGCAAACAAACAAACAACCCAGTTCTTACTCATGGAATTGCTCTTCTTGTTCCTCTGATTCCCCTGGTACTTGCATCTGGATTTAGCTACTGGAAAGGGTGTCCCAGAATATATAACAGGAGTACTTAAAATGTGTTGCATATACTGAATTGTCATTCTCTCCCAAAAACTTTGGGCACACTTTACCATTTATCCTAAAGTCATTTGAGACAGGCTTAACTTAAGCCAAAACAAACACTGATTGCTAGAAGCTTTGTGTGAGCAACATCAGACTGGATTTGACGTAAATAGTGATTTTTCTTTTTTTCTGAAATGATCAGGGCAAATCTAAAATAAGCGCTACATAAGCATATTTTAAATGCAAGACAATGAAAAAAAGCAGGTTTATATTGCCTACCGTGATTTATTTACAATATATTCATCACAGGGCTTTATGTGATAAACGTAGTATCACATTCCCTCTTAGCCCATGATGTAATTATCTGCACTGAACCAAGCAATGTAGAGCATACTGTTACCTGCACTTCAGTAGGCTTGGTGGGCATAAAAACAAGGGAGGGGAAAGTTTTATAAAAAAAAAACAAAACATTGTGTCACACAGCAGAGCAGCAAACACTGCACTAGCAGACATTAATATAGATACTTCCCTGTCCTCAATAAATACACAGCTGCAAATACTTGAGATACAAAACAATGTGTGCCTTAACCTATCCATGACAAAGAAGCAGGACTTAAAATCTTCCAGATCACCATCTTCACAAGATATGGCCTTGTCCTCTGTGTTCAGGACATTAGCATTTTATTACTGCAGTTCTTGTCCCTGGGCAGGTATTGAAGAGCAGTGTACCAGGGAACAAGTTCATCAGGCAGATAGCTCTGCAGATACACAGATGTATGAATGCTCTCTCCAGACAGAATCAGCGCAAATTTGATACAGTGGTATTAGCTACAAAATTCTACACTATTAATCCAGGTGAGAGAGGAGCATTCATTTCCAGCTTCTTCTACTGGTTCTTTCTGTATCATCTTATCTCTCCAACGAGTCCAGGAATGTAGAGTAACAAAACTAATTTACTAAGAAAGTGACAGGTCATGCACCTCTTTCCCTTCTTACTCGGGTTTCTTTTTTATAACACAGAAGATGCACCCACTTCTCCCAAAGCTCAATGATAACAGATCTCAGTGATAGAAAACCTGATTAATTACACTAGGTTTGGGATATTTTAACACTGGAAGTGTGATAGTTAATGCCTAAAAAAACCAAACCTGAGTTAAACATCACATTAACTCCATTATCTTTTGTCCACAGTGAACTGGAGAAGAAGCGAAATTTGTTAAAAAATAAGTTTATCCATGGAAATGTAAGATTCTGCAAGTAATTTTTAAAAGCATCCACAAAAGATAGGACAGCACAGTTCCAAACTCATGTAAAAGAGTTTCTGGCAATCCAGAGCGTACTGTTTAAAAAAAACTACAACAGAGCAGTGCTCAACCAGCTAGAATTTGGAAACCTGCCTACAGGTCAATCTGAGATAGGTCCTTACATTCCCTTCTTCTGAACCCGTTGGATGTTTTTTCTTATGTGGTGGCTACAATAATGCTGTTCGTCCCTTGCAGCAGGTACTGAACTCCAGCACTTTGCTCAGCCGTTCATAGGTTAAAGGTGGACGTCTCTTTCCACCGCTGCTCGGCCCCGCGGCGGCCACCTACACACCAGGGCTCCCTACAGCCGACCCGGCTCATTCTGTTTTTGGCAGGTGCCCTTAACAGTACCACGGGGATCTACAGGAGATCTACAGGTGTCTACAGGAGATCTACACGTGTCTACAGGTGACACTGACCTCGCTGACGGGAATGCACAGAGCTCGTCAGCACTACTGTTCCTTGCAGGTTGCCATCTGGCATTCAATTTACACTCTACGTTACCAGAAGCGCGCCGTTTCCTCTTGGTTTAGGATTTAGTTTTGCAGGAGGCTCCCATTATGTGTCCTTATCCTATTATCGTGCGCCCCTAGAACGCCTGCAGTGCCCGGCGGGTCTCAGGCAAGGGAACACACGGTTCTGTCTGTGGCCTCAGCAGAGGGAAGTTTACTTATCTGAGCGCGCCCCGAGCCGTTCTGCCGGCTCGCTGCCCTTGCTCGCTGGGTGTCCCAATGGCCCGCCGCTCCCCCCTCGGTACCTTCCGGAGGGCCTCCCGCAAGTGGCGGTGCTGCGGGGTGTCCCCGGTGTCCCGCGGCCCCGAGCTGCGGCCGCGCAGCGCCGGGCCCAGGCGCGCCCAGCTCCTCAGCGCCATGGCGGCTGGGTCCCCCCGCCGAGCACAGGCCCGGGCAGCCCCCACAGCCAGCCCGGGGCGCCCCGGCAGCCCTGCCCCGCCCCGTCCCGTCCCTCCTCCCGCTCCTCTCGGCCCCGCAGCAAGTCAGGCAGCTCTCGGGTTACGGGCAGGTTTTCTTTAATGCCAACGAACAGCCATGAAGCGACCGACAAGCGGGTGGCGAGCGGGCCCCGCACAGCGACAGGGGCCGGCGGGGCACAGCCGGCCCTGCCCAGCGGCCGGCGCGGGGCTCGGCAGCTTTCGCGCGGGGTTCTGTATTTTTGTAAGGAGAAACAGAAAATAAAAAGAAATTCGCTCCTGCGCTCATTCGACACGGGCCGGCGGCGGTGGGAATACGCTAGTGACTCCCTAGGGGTACGGGAGGAATGTCTGCTCCAGGGGCAGGCGCGGGGTCCCTTCTCCTAAGCGATGACACAGCCTCCCTTCTCCTTGAAGGGGTTCTTGTCCTCGGGAACCCCCTTCACCAGCGGGTCCTCTCCCGACCGCTCCTCGATGTAGTTCTTGATCTCTTCGGAGCATTTGGACACCTCGAGGGAAAGGACAGAAAAGTGGCTGCGTTAGGCCGTGGAAAGTGCTCATCAGAGGGGGAAATTACATTCTGTCAGTGAATTTAAATTCTCTCTCATTCACTTTCCCACCAAGCATAAGCACTAAGCACGTGCAAACTCAGCTTCCTTCCTCTGTTTTCACAGCCCGATATTGACAGAACATGTGAGTATCTCTGAGAATGTAAACGCCACTCCGAGCAGCAGTCGCTGCACAGTTAAACCTGTGTTCATAATTAGCCAATCTAGTTTTATTAAGCTGCGGATCACACTCTTCCCTCAGCACCAGCGTGACTTCCGGCCAAGAGTTTCAGGGTTACTGACTTTCAATTCAGTTTCAAAGCATATAAATACTTTATGTGTTTTTCAGAAACAAAACATTCAGCAACGATTTTTTCGGTGGTAATCCAAATTCTTACTTTGCAGTTCTGCTATAGCAATGATGCACCTTGAATGAGAGTCTAACTAGGAAAGACAATTTATTTACTGTTTACCTGGAGTTATTTCTAAGAATGGCTAATAAAATAGCCTGTTGTGTTATGAGACCATACCATTTCCCATAGGATTCATACCAAACTAGCACTGATTCAGGTAAGCCTGCATAGAACCCACACTTGGAGAAGTGTGTTTAGTTTCTGTTCACTGATACAGCAGCACATGTGGTAATGGTGTCTGTGCAGTCTGAGGGTGCACAAGTGAACATCTGGGGCTCCTGAGGTTCCTTGTGCACACACATCTTTTGCTCCCTGTGTCAGCAGAAACTGTCCCTAGATGCTCTAATACCTGCCATGCCTGAGGACACACTTCTGTTATGTCCCCACTTCCTCCCTTCCTACCCAAAGGCTCTGCAGTGTAGAATCAGATTCTGCTGTGTAGAATCAGATTCTGCTGTGCAGAATCAGCAGCAGGAACCAGCTGTTGGCCAGGCCACTAGATGATTAGTATTTCTAATTTAAGGCACCTTGCCTCCTCTGTTAATTATATTTTATTTCAAAATAAGACTACAACAAGAGAAATTTACCTGCTGTGTCACAGACAACAGAGCATGGCCTGTGCAAAATTAAGCTTTAACCTATCAGAAAGAACAGAGTTAACTCCCAATTAAACAGTGCACAAAGTAAGATCTAGCTGTCTTAGAGCAAAGAAGAAGCTGGATCTACAAATCCCATTACATATGCCTTGTTCTTCTCTACCTTGCAAACTTTTTTCATTCAAATTGGAGCACCTAACACCATAGTAAAGTTGCATGCCAAAGTATATGAAGGACCAGGGTTTGTTTTACTTCAGTCAGCACTTCCAGGATCACTTTCACTTATAAGAAAAAAAACCTGCTTAAATAAACATTTAGAAATTTTTATTCATTCCAAAGGACAGTTCCTTTTTATTCTGTAAAGTTGTTAGTGGGGGTCAAGAAAATTTTGGCTGACATTTTTATTTTGGTACCAACAGTAATTTGGTTTCTGCATTTCCCTATCCCTGTAACACCCATACAGGTACCAGGGGACTCTGGAAACTACAACACAGATTTCATTTTCACAGTGAAACTTCTGTTACAAAGCACTGGTAAAACTGAGCATGCTGTCTGTGCTTTACTACAGGAAAACTGAAAAATATCCATTTTCCTAAAGTGATCAGAGTTTTGGTTTATTTCAAAACTGTAGACAAGTATTTAAAATTATTATTATTTCAAAAACTTTACATCCTGCAGAGTGTATTTCAGTTGTCCAAGAATCCTCTGAGAGACAATATAGGTATCTACACCATCTGGATGTCCAGCCCCCCAATACTGCTGGAGCTTTAGACCATAGCTTAACATCTACAATCACCTAACTCACAACTAAAACATAACTCCAACATTCTTATTTTCTGGGCTAAAACCTAGACCTTCAAAAAAATCAACATGACTAATACTACTGATTCCCACATGTAAATGTATTTTTGGTCCTAGCTAGAAGTGGTTTTTAGGTGTAATTTGCTTCTGCTGGCATGCAGAATTAAAAAAAAAAAAAAAAAGAAAAGAAAAAAAAAGGAAAAAATAATATTAGTTTCATCGTGGAGCAAGATCAGTTCTGCACATCTCTCGTCTATAGAAAATGTACAAACCCATAAACTTTTAGGGGGAAAGTACTTGTGGGAAGGAACAATTAATGTAAATGTATAAATATTTCTATGGAACAAGGCTGGGTAGGTGACGGCTGGGCACGGGCGGTACTCTGGCTCCTGCTCTCCGCCCGGGCACTGCACAGCATGGGAAGCGGGGCGGGGACGCGGGCGGCCGAGACCCAGCTACGGGCCAGGGCAGGGCGGAGTGTCGTGACAGGGCGCCCCTGGCTTCTTTGGGGGGGACCATCCTCCCCTAGCACCCCAGAGCCTTCTGCCTACAGGAGCGGGGAGCAGAGCGCGACGTGCTCCTCCCTCGCCTGGCAAGGCTGCCCTGTGCCGGCCTTGGGCGCCAGGGACTCACGGGGAGGGGAAGTTAAGGGGTGCCAAATGCACCGGGAACAGCCCCGCGGGCAGGCCCGTGCCAGCCCCTCGGGGCGCTTTATCCCAGGGTGGTGCGCTCCTTGCCCCGGGCTCCGCAGTCACCCCCGGGAAGGAGCGGCGCTCCTCGGCGGTGTCAGCGCTGCTGTGCCAACAGCGCCGTCCCCGGCCCCGACCCAAAGCGGTGGCAGGACCCGTCGGTGCCAGCCGCGGCCGTCCCAAAACAGCCGGGGCTCTACGGAGCTCCACAGCCCCGCCGCCCCTGCCGCCGCCCGAGCCCCCGCACGGCCGCCCGGGGAGGAACGGGCTGCTCTCCGCTCCACACCCGGCCCCGCCGGGCGCCTTCGGGCCCCTCTCCGCGCCCGCTCACCGGCTGCCTTTCCAGCTTCACTTCTTTCCGGAGCTGCTCCACTTCCATTTTCAGTTTGTCCTTCTCGCTCAGGTCCTCGATGTTGATGGCTGGCATCGTTTACACTGCCGAAGCGCGCAGGGAATGAGGACAAAAGGTTACGTCTGGGTAGCGAGGGCGCCGGGGCCGGAGCCCCCGGGCGGTGGCGGGGCTGTGGGACGGCCGCCCCCGGCCCGCCCCCGGGCTCACTCACTCACACGCTGCCGGCCGAGGTGCCCCGCTGCTCGGCGGCGGCCGCTTTCTCTCCGGCGCTCCTGCACCCCTTCCCCACTCCGGCCTTTAAACCTGCAGGCTAATCCCCCCTAACCGGATTAGAGCCCGCCGCCCGGCCCGGCCCCGCTGCCGGGGCGTTGACACGGGCCCTGCCTGCACAGGGAGGTCCGGCCGTCCCAGCAGGAGCCGGGAGCTGGAAGACCCTCCTGTGCTGACCTCCCCGGTCTCACCCTCTACAACTTCAGTGCGGGACAAGAGCAGCGAGGTCGGCTGGGGCGTTTGGCCCAGCGGTGAGATCTTTCTCCCCACCACCTTCTCCGCATGCACCTCCTGGCCACAGAAATGACGCTCTGTGCCACCAGCATCCTTGGGCTGTGTGTTCTGCCCAGCGGCTAGGGCAGAAGCAGGTGGTGTGCATGGGTACATTCCTCAATATTTGTGCATTACAATTACAGATGAACTGGGCTAAGGTAGAGAGGGGAAGAAACCACTCCCATATAAAGTTCCCCTGCAGGTGGCCAGCCCATCAATGCCAGACATGGCAACTATTTGGTAGGTATGTCTGCAGAGCAGAATTGCAACTCTGCGTAAGAGGGTTATCGTGCCTGGCTTGCACTTTGGACACATGGCGTTATGAGATGTGTTGAGGTGGAGTACTCAATGTAAGGGAAGTGATGCATTCAGAAAATGCAAGAAGGAGTTAGGAAATTCTGTGGCGGCACAGAGTTAGAGGTCTAGATCCCAAATAGTGTTTTATGCTTTTAGGAACAGAGTGGTCCCTTCATGCATGTTTGTACAGCACCTATCATCTCTCATCCTAGCAGCTGCTTTCCTACAATAGCAATGGAAGCAGAATTCAGGACCCCTGAGACTGAACATAGCTACAGGCCATAAAAATGGGCTTGCAGTGCTTCTGTTATCTGCCACTTCAAATATCCTCAGAGCTAGTTAGCCTTCCCTCTATCCTCCTCTGTTTTTTCCCATTAAACACACTCCTTTCTCCTCCTCTCCCTACTCACCAGATGGAAGCAGCTGTCAGCAGCATGTACGATTTACATCTTCTCCAGCACTGCTACTATAGTGCTCTTGGGGTTTGTATTCATTTTACTTTAGCCTGTTCACTAAGGTCAGTTTCTCTTCCTCTCCCTATGGCTTCTATCTCCATCTCCCCAGCTGTTGATATGCACTTTCTACACCCCCATAACCTACACTGACAGCTGCATTCCTAAACCTCACCAGCTGCTGGTCTTGAGCCAGTCAAAAGAGGTGGAAGGAGCTGGCTGGCCAGAGCCTCAGAGGAGCCCAGGCTGTTG